TCTTCTGATAACGCTATCCTTGGATGAGCCGCAATGTTGCAACTGCAATGGGAGAGGCTGCCTGTCTCTTTTCAGGGAAGCCTGAGAATCAACACGTGTATAGCATTCACCTGATGCTTGTGAGGCCTATCGACTGGTCTAAACGGCTGCAGCTTCATCACTCCCACCTCACAACACAGCACAAACAGCACATTGTAGGCATTCAGGGACTTCTGAGTGAAGAGGCGAAACCCTTGCAGGAAGTGTTGTTGTTATATAGCTGACAGTCATGGCAGACTGTGTAACAAATTACCCCCGAGGTCAGCTGATTATATAAGAAGCTATCTAAGACTTAGTCTTACACCAATGAACCAGGGTTTTGCTGGTCCATACTAGGCTCAGTTAGATGCCTTTGCTCTGTGCTTCCCAACTGCATGGCATGGCCGCAGCTTAGGAATCAGGTCCAGGTCCAGGTGGTGGCTAACAGAGGACAGTGTGCTGATGGCACAGCAGTCATTCAGTGGCACAGGTGTCTACCAGGCCTCTGCCTGCATCATGCTCACGACCGGCCAAGGTCAGTCCCAAGGTCAGAGGGTCAGGCAAGGGTCACATCCCTGGGACTATTGAAGGTGAGAGAATATTCTCTAAATAACATCCAAGTCTGTCATGGCTTTGAATACGGAAATGATGACTTACATTAAAGATGAATCATAACAACAGAGATAAATGACTTGCAATTAGAGTTGTGTAGTCAACTGGGTTGAGGTCTCTTTTTTTCTCCCTAATTCTCTTCTCTTCAAATATGGGAGTTGAAGAAAGCATTACTAAAATGCAGAAAACGTGAGGATAGTAGATTAAAACTTTATTGATTTCATAGAAAGTTTTATTGAGTTAAAATAAATGTTTCCTTTAAAACATATTAATATTTGCTATGTTGAATAGCTAGAAAATAATTCAATTTTCTTTTACCTTTGAGATTTTTCCAAGTGCATAATTTACTGATTCATGTGTGTGTGTGTGTGTGTGTGTGTGTGTGTGTGTGTGTGCACTATGCAGTCCTTGTTTGAAGTCTGTGTGGAGCCTACAGCTCAGTGCATCCTTAGTGGTCCTCTTGTGAAAACAGACAAACACATAGCAGAAGTGTGTGCATTGCAGGAGGTGGGGGAGGGTTGGGTTCAGAGTTAAGAATGTGTTTCTCATTTTTTAAAAAACACTGTGTTTTGTGGATATCCAGATGTTTGTTCCATTCATCCCGATTTGTAGATGGTCAAAGTGCTACTATCTCAAAGATACAAATGCCCAGGGCTTCAAGAAGGACCTGCCTTCTGGGTGCACAAAGGTGGCCATTTTCTATCTCCAATATTAGTAATCAAGAAAGGTACAAGTCTTCCAAGTATCCTTTGTAGTCAGTTTGAAAATATCCTGTAGCATCTGCTGGACTCAATGATTTCTCATGTTTGCTTGTAGATCTGTTCTAGGGAGCAGCGTACACAGAGCAATCGGAAGCCAGGTGGACCCTGGCCTTAAACAGCAGTGCAGAGTTCAAATCTGACGTGATGCAGCCCGCAGATAAGCTCACAGCATTTCCTGCATTGGCTCCACTGCACTTTAAGCTGCACATTTGCTCCTCTAGGCAGGAAAGTTTGTCCCAACTTTTTCCCTGATTCAGAGTTTTATGGTTTAATGTTTTTATTATATCTGTTTATTTGTGTGTGTATAAGACTGAGTGTGTGTCTTTTTGTGTGTGTACATGCATGTACATGCATGTGTGTATGTTTGTGTGTGTATGTGTGTTTGTGTGTATGTGAGTATGTGTGTGTGCGTGCGTGTGTGTGTGTGTGTGTGTGTGTGTGTGTGTGTGTATTCCATGGCATTCTTGCAGAGATCAGGGCACGACTTGCAGGAATCAGTTTCCTTCTACTGTGTGGGATGCTGGGGATTATATTCAGGTTGTCAGGCTTAGTGGCAAAGACACCTGTGTACCTGCTGAGACATCTCAACTGCCCTATAGTTTTTATTTTACAAATAAGATGCTCAAAGCCATGTTGAACCAGGGTTCTTAGACCTATTTCCTTTCAAGACACTAAGATCTGATCGAAAGGCCCCTGGCTTTAATATCCCTCAGAGGAGCTCATTCCTTATGTGATTGAGGAGGGTTTTCCACAGGCCGTACTTGATTAATTATGTATCACAAGCCGTGGAGTTCACCATTCTCTAAATCCCCATCATGTCGCTCAGGATACGGCATGCACCTGCCTAATCTCACTCAGGAGAGTAAGTCTGCAGCATTGCAGTCCCTAGATGTCTTCTGCCATGTGTGTGCCCGGGGTTGTGGGGAAGACTGGACCTGTAGGTGCCAATATTGTCACAAGTTCACAGCTTCACAGTTAAAACCATTCCTTAAGATGGTTCTGGGGCTTTGTGCTCACTGTGAAGGGTCAAAAGAATGTGGCCAATTCCTCTGTGTGCCTCCATCAAGAGCATCAAGGAACTCCTTGCACACATGCGCCCTTCCCACCTCCCCAACTCTGTTCACCTCCCTGACTCTGTTCCTTTCACAGCAGTCTGGCCAGGCACAGCCTCTTTCTTACCAATCTCCCCTTCTCTGCATTTCTTCTGTTCATGTTCCAGATCTTCCTCTCTAGAGAGAAAATTTTACTTTAATTCTCTCCCTGATTGTTTATGAGTTCTTACAATGTTTTGCTTTACAATATGTTTAGATAGAAATGATTTATATTTTCAAAGTAATTTATTGAAATTTTAAACTTTGACCAAATTTTAAGTTGACTATTTACAGATTCACTGGAGAAAATACGTCTTGAAGACATATGTCTTTTCTATCAACTTACTGCATTTATCATTAAATAAACAGTTCAGTCTTGGGGACATGGCTCACATGTTGAGCACACGCACTAGTAGAGGACCAGAGTTCAGATCCAAGAACCCATATCAGGCAGCTCACAGCTGCCTATAAATCCAGCTCCAGAAGATATGACACCTCTGGTTGTTGATGTGGTCATACTCGTGCAGACATACATGTAATGAAAATAGCTCTAAAAATTCTATCATTAGTTTATAGTAGTTAACAGGCACTTGTCTATAAAGTGCTGGACATGAGAGTCTATAAAATTTCTACATTTTGTGTAAATGTATTAGCATCATATACACAGTCATTGCTGCTTGTGTAAAACTGTGCAAATGTCCTTCACATATAATAAGGAAGACACAAGAGACATCCACAGTGATGTCACAATCACTGTGGCAGGACCAGTCCTTATAAGTGGCTTGCAGAGAAGCCTTTCATGTGAAGGGTTGAGAGTCAGGATTTACTAAACAGGGAATGGAGTTTGGTTTCATGTCCTTAGAAGAAAGCATTCTGTGGGCCATCTGAGCGGCATGGTAGCCAAACCTCTCCCACTGCAGACTTTTGGTGGCTTCCCACAAAGCGAGCCCTGCAGTGATTGGAAGGCAGCTTCATGCTTGTCTTATTTTCCTCAGAGAGGGAAATGTCTCTGAGTGCTTTAGTGGCTGTCTGTTCACAGTGAACACAAGAACTGTGGAGCACAGGATGGGCCGACAAACTCCCACCGAAAATCAACTTGCACATTAAGAACTTGGGAGAGGAGGACTGGAAGGAATGGCCGGTGGTGAGGGTTCCAACACAGTGCAGCAAGCACACCTTCCTCTCAACACAGTGCAGCACAGCTTCCTTCATGCTGAGGACTCTCTCTCTCTCTCTCTCTCTCTCTCTCTCTCTCTCTCTCTCGCTCTCTCGCTCTCTCCCCCCCCCCCCCCAGGCTCTGGTTAGAGAAAACTGGAGGCTAGCCGGATTTTCTGAGGGGCTGCCCCCCCCATGCTTTTAAAATTCTCAATAACAACAGGAAGCTGAGGCATCACTAGGTGGTAGGAGAAGTCAAAATGGCCCTGGACTCATTGTGGGAGAGGACAGTCGAGACTCTAGGCAGGTGCCAGAATTCCTGTGTGTCTCTCCCAAGTTCCAAACCTTAGTAGTACGGGCGCATCGCAGCTCAGCCACAGAGGGCTGGATCAGGGGACAAAAGAGCTGCACACGGAGGTGGAACGTCGGAGACCCAAGGGAGGCCGAAGAACCACAAAAGACAAGAAGCCTACAGGGAAGAGTGGAGGAAGACGCCAAGCCCTAGACGAACCCTCAGATACCGTTTGCGCATCTCTCCACACGGGGGCACTCGAGCACGTTCGAATGCACCAAAATGAGTTTGTTATTGGAAACCCTGTGTGCTGCACAGTCTTTGGGGTCAAGGCTCCCCTCTCACTCATCTCAGTGCCAGAATGGGGTGGAACAAGGTTTGGAAAGGTTGCTGACCTCCAGACACTTTAGCGTTTCCCTGTATTTACACATAGGCAAGCTGGAGCCAGGTGTACCTTGAAAGGTCTTGCTCCGAGGCTTGCCCTAAGCTAGCGCAGGTGTCCTGCCGCCAGTTCTAGACTTGACCTTCCCTTCTTAAAAGGATCAGAAGAAAACGAGTCAATTTTTGAAAACCTATGTGGTGGGAGGAAGGCCTTCCTTTGCCTCCTCCTTTGCCCCGCAGCCGCATTCTTCCTACCCCAGGCTCTCAGGGGGTCTTTGCCCAAGTTAACCAAAGGCAGAAGAACACTATTAGGTAGAATCTCTGGGAGTCCCTGGAAGGCAGTTGTGTGCTGCAACCCAAAGAGAACGTAATGGGAGCCATGGCCGCGAAGCCTCGGGATACCATGACAGTTAGGGTTTCTTTGCTCAGTCCTAGCGCCGTCGCCTCTCACTGGGGCATTCGGCCCATTGTAGAGCTAGGAGTGCCCAAGCCCTGAACCTTTATCCAGGACAACTGGTGTTCTGAGAGTTCTCCGGCATCCACCTCCAGCTCCCTGAGACTAGAACTCCCCAGGTGCCATCACCAGGGCTGGAGCTGGGTACCCCGCTGAGAAGGGAAAGGAGGAGCTGCTAGGGGCCAGGGCGAGGAACAGGAGATGAGCCGGGATGCAAGCTGGTCTCTAGGTGGTGCCAAATAATGGGGCCTAGACATGTCCCCTCCCTTGTGTGCTTCTGGTGTCTTGCTTTCCTTCCATCTCTTTGGTGAGGCCGAACGTGGACTTAAAAAAAAATAGCAAAGCAGAAAGAGAAAGCGATCACTCCGACCCCTGGCTTCCGCGCCGCCGGGGAGGGGGCGGAGAAGCTGAGCCAGGCAGAGTCGCTCAGCACCCAGGCGACTCGCGAGTGGCGCGGAGCGACCAGGCTCGCCTTTCTTCTTCTTTCCCCACCGCCTCCTTTTCCCCCCTTCTCTCTTTTCTGCTGGAGGGGGGTGGGGATAGGGAAGAGAGATAGAGAAAGGAAATTTTTTTTCGAAGCATCCGAGCCAGTGAACCAGCTTGCGGCGGCCCATGGCTTCGCTGTACCAAAGGTTCACCGGCAAGATCAACACCTCGCGCTCCTTTCCGGCGCCCCCGGAGGCCAGTCGCCTCCTGGGTGGCCAGGGGCCGGAGGAGGACGCGGGTCCGAAGCCCCTAGGGCCGCAGGCGCAAGCGGCGGCGCCCCGGGAGCGTGGCGGTGCGGGTGGCCGGCCCCGGTTCCAGTACCAGGCTCGGAGCGACTGTGACGAGGAGGACGTAAGAGCACCGCGGTGGGTGGGTGGCGGTGGTGGGGGCTTCAGCGGGAGGTGAGGGCCTAGCGATTCCTAGGGGTCTCTGGGTTCCTTGCTCCTCTCTTCCCGTTCCCCTTGCTGTGCCTGAGCGCGCTCAGACACTCTCCTTGGCTCTCAGACACTCTCCTTGGCTCCCTATCTCAGTCACCATGGTCCGGAGTAGGTCTCTGCGGTGGTAGCCAGGAGTTGGAGGCTGGAGCAGGCAGGGTTTTGGAGCTGCGCCTGCTGGGATGTGGACTATGCTTGGAATTCACTAGATTCGTGGATGTCTGTTTGTAACCGCAGCCCGCCGTACTTCCCAAGGAGGGAATTAGATCTGTGTATGCTTGGAGTTGTGTTTTATGTTTATTTTCCTGCTTTGAGGCTCAGGGAACAGCTGGTCCAGACTCCTTTTTTCCTCCTTCCACTATGCAAGGTGGCCCTGCTCTCCACTCTGCGCTTCTTCCCCTTTTCTCTGTCCGCAGACATCTTCTCTCTCTATGCCCGAGGTTTATACCTGTGGTGTTCTTTTCCTGGAAAAAGAAAAGTTCTAACTTCACAGCCCTGGCCTCTGACCCAGACCCAATACAGCATTTCAAACTACTAAGTACCTGGCATGCTAATTTGGGTTGCAAGCCTGTGGGCCAGCAACTCTACTTGGGCCGTGCACCTTCCTTTAGAAGAAGTTCTAGGAGCAGTCCCTTACTCTCAAGTTTGGGCTTCAGAGACTGAATTTTCATATTATCCTAGAAATCAAGGAATCTTTTAGGGTACCAGTGGCTCCAGAGATGAAATGGGTTGACCTTCCATCAGGTCGGTGCCAAGAGGACTTTCAGGGAGGGAGAATTTTGGAGACAAGTGCCAGGAGAGAGCCCTGAGGCAGGCAGGTCTGGCTTGGCTGGTGCAACAACCCCTTAGAGAAGGGTGTGTAGTGTTTGAGGAGTAGCGGGTATCCCTATGCAGTGCAGTTCAATAGCACCTGGATCTTTGCCCAACTCTTAGTTTTCCGAGCCCTTGTAGGGCAGCCCATTGCCCTGAAGGAGCAGGAGGTGTGGCCCCAAGAACTGTAGGGTCTGGAGTAACTAGACTTCAGTGCTGCGCATGGCAGGACAAAATGCTTCGAGGGGGGGGGGGGTGTTGGGGGGGTCTCAACTGTCAGATCTTACAGAACCAGTGAGGCCATGCTATTGTTCGTAGTGTGTTTCGTTTTGTGCTGTGAGACATAGGGACTGCCACAGAGGTGACAGGAGTTGAGGGGGGCCCACAGTCCACAGCCAGGCATTAAGCATCTTTATCTCTGGTCATTTCCAGATTCTCCTGGTTAGAAAGAGATACCAAAGACTAATAACGTCCCTCACTCCAGTGGGTCAGTCTGAGGAAAAAAGGACAAATTCTTCTGATATCTGGTTCAAATAACTAGAATTCCTTGAGAATGACATCAAGCAATGATGAATTCTGGAGGATTCTGTTTGCTTAAGATCCTGGGGACATGACTGGGTTGCAATGCAGACAGCAAAGATGCACAGTCCCCTCCCTCCCAAATCTGGTTTAAAAGCTTTGGATTATGGGTCTGGAATGAGCTTGCTCTGCTAAGCAGGCTCTAGATGTCGCTAGGAGAAAGGACAGGCAGGGCTGGAAGCACCAGCTGGTCTCCGCCCATCTGGATTGGGTTTGGTTGTTTGTTTTTTAAGATCCTAGCTGAGAGCGTGCACCTCCTGCTTTTCATTGTGATGCTGAAGCTGCTGCTCAGATTAAGTCAAAGTCTGAGGTCATCTGCAGAGGGATATTGAATCAGTGGGACATGAGAACTCCAAAGGGGGACTCTCTCAAACTCAGATGTATCAAGTCCTGAAACAGTGCTTGTGTCCTGCAAAATACAGAAATGTGTGTCTACATGCACCCATGCACATGGGCATTGGTCAAGTGTGTTAGTGTACTGGTGTGTATATATTGGGTCAAAATAAGCACATATTCTTCCTACAAAGTAGCAACTGTGTGGGATGAAGGAGCGTGAGGGATGTTCATAAGGAGCTTCATAGGCAATACAAGTGCCAAGTAGCAAATTCTTGATACACGAGTTGATTTTAGCTGTTCTTGCCACAAAATCAACAAAAATAGCCATGTGAGGTAGTGGACATGTTCATACTCATCAACCTTTCTACTTCCTGTAGGAAGTATTCCCATAGTATTGTGGTGTTTACCTCCTATGTGAGCAAGGAAGTGTCAATTAAGTTTCAAATGTAGAGTTGAACCAACAACGCACAACTAAATGTAGCTTCAATTTAAAAATGTCTCTTAAAACGAAAAAGAACAAAAAACTCCCCTTTTATAAATTGGAAAAACATTTACCAAAAGGCATATGCACAAATCAAACCATTTTTCTTCTGAGAACAGAGGCTGCAGTTTGCTTGCAATCAAAGGTAACTGGTAAAGTTCTTGGGTTTAAAAACTGCTAGACATGTCAATCTCATATTAGCATTTTTTTTTTAATCAAGCAGGAAACAGATCAAAAGATGTGTGACTGGTTAGAAAGAAGTACTTTGCTTTGGTGAAGAGAGGGAGGGAGGCCTAGAGGGAGGGAGACCTGGAGGGAGGGAGACCTGGAGGGACAGAGGGAGGGAGAGAGGGAGGGAGGGAGGGAGGGAGGGAGGGAGGGAGGAAGGAAGGAAGAACTCATCCAGACACTTAAGGAACCTCAAAACTCCCTTGGAGCTGTCCAAGGTGTTGAATGTTCCCTTTCCATTGGCTCATAGAAAATCTCCATAGCTTGTGTCTGAGTGAGCAGTCTGAATATGAGGCTGGTGACCTACCTCATCACACGTCTGTGTTCTGCCAGTCAGGCATAGCTGTTTCAATATGCAGTGTGTTTGTTTGCTTTATGTTGCTGAGATAAAACACTTATCCTTTGGGCTGAATTCTCCTATATCAATCACTAATCAAGAAAATATCCTACAGAATTGCCTACAGGTCAGTCTTATGGACACACATTCTCAATTGATGCTCTTTGTCTCAGATGACCCAAACTTGTGTCCAGCTGACCAAAAAAGAGCAAAACACCAACCAGCACATATGCGAACAACTTTCCGGTCCTGCTCATCTGATGTTGGTAAATGGCATAACTTTAAAACACATTAGGCTTTATGGATCTTGTCCTTAGACTCAGAGATGGAGATAAAAATGGTATTATAGTGCATAAAAATGTGCAAAAACCAACATGGAGACTGGGAGAGGGCTCAGTGAATACAGAGCTTGCCATACCAACATGAATACCTGGGTTCAAAGCCCCTGAACACATGTAAAAGCTTACCATGTTTGAGTACTTCTCCATAATCTCAGTGGCCCTGTAGAGAGATAGGAGGTAGAGTCAGGAGAATCCCCGGCAGCCTGAGGGCCAGCTAGTCTGGTGTGTGCAAACGGGAACAATGAGACCCTGCCTCAAATAAGGTGGGAAGGGATGAATAACACCTGAAGCCGACCTCTGGCCGTCGCTGAAGCACTGGGGTACTCCTAGTTTCCTTGGTCTCTCTCACACTTTATTAATTAAGTAAAATAAACATGTCTGTGTATGACTGAGAAAAGGTAACTTCCATGAAATGTAAGGTACTTTACAAAGAATCACTCAGATAAAAATCTAGCCAACTCTACCCAGAGCACCCTCCACTAAAGTTAAAGGACTAGTGATGAGCTAAGAAGCGGTCGCACAGGTGCAGACCGTGCCACACTGTCTGTCACCTGTTCATCCACAGATGACCTCTCTGGGTTGTGTCAGGGCTGTTAAAAATTGCTAAGCTGACAGGATCTAGACTGTCCTGAGAATAGGCCACCAGGCATACCAGTGGGGGAATCATCTTAATTTTGGTTAGGTTAGTTGAGGTGGGGAGACCCAGCCACCCATTCTCTGGACTGGGATCATGGAGTATAGAAAAAGGAAGAAGTGAACTGAAACCTAACTTCGTCAGTCTGAAACCTAACTGTGCATGGATGCTATGTGACCATCGATTGCAAACTCTGGTTGCTGTAACTTCTCCACCATGACAGACTGCACCCTGAAAATGTAAGTGAAGAATCAACCATTTCTCCCATAAGCATTGCAAAGGCATTCCACAACACTGGCAAGAAAAGACACTAACCTGGTGGGGCTGTCCTAAGGGTTAGAAATAAGCCCAGAGGCTCTTCCATTTTAGCCAGTTCCCTTGCAAATTTTACATTTATTTAAGCAAAATCAATAAGTTGGGCTACCCCTTTAAAGAAACAGTAGCCACTTTTACTTAAAACTCATTGTGTAGAGTTAAAAATAAGTTGGCTCTAACAAGCTGCTGAAAGTGGCTCTTAGTGAAATGTAGTGGCCTTGCTCTTGGAATTAACTGTGGCGCGTTTTCAAAGCGCCTCTTTCAAGACTGTACTTGAACTTTTCTCTCCAGTCTCTGACATGGCTTTCGGGGTCCTGCACACTGCCACAGTGGTCCTCCTGTCAAGGATACATTGCCGCTTCTGCTTTCTTCATTTTTGGTGACTCACATTGTCCTAATGATATTAATATGAGTTTGACCTGAATTTAAAACCACAAACTGGCCAAAGCTGAGATCCACTAATATACCACAGCCCATGACGTCAGTCATCACAACAGGTCCAAGTTCTCCTGCCTGTCATTTCTGTTTGTCTCTACCCTGATCTTACAGTAGTATGATGTCATGTGTTCATGGGGTTTATCAGCTTTGTGACTGGCTTCTTAAGCAGTTTGCCACCATGAAGATGTCCATATACTCTGAAACTGTTTTTCACCAGCATTAAGTAATTTTTAAGTTTTAATTGCATATAATTTTACTACCATGATAAAAGAAAATAAGGCTAAAGCTTTCTGTTGTCCTCTCCTTCCCAGAATCTTCCTCATCTCGACATTGGCAGTGTCTAGAATACCTGCTGCCCAGAATGGGTATGGGGAATAAGGGAGTCATTTGGAGCTGTGACCGAGGAGGCACCCAGTGC